TGTGGCTAAATATAAAACTTTTTTTTTTCTTAATTCTGAATTTCTTTAACATAACTGATTGGTCAAAACAAAAATAAAAACAAAATACTGTGTAATTCTTAACATGGAGAAGTAAAATGCATTATTTCCATAGCACAAAGAATAAGATAAGAGCAAGGAAAATCAAAAAATATTGTTATAAGCAGTGAGGCCAGGCATGGTGGCTCACACCTGTAATCCCAGCGCTTTGGGAGGCCATGGCCAGTGGATCACTTGAGATCAGGAGTTCAAGACCAGCCTGGCCAACATGGTAAAACCCCATCTCTACTAAATACACAAAAATTAGCCAGGTGTGGCTGGGCATGGTGGCTTATACGCCTATAATCCCAGCATTTTGGGAGGCGGGCGGATCACGAGGTCAGGAGATCGAGACCACACAGCGAAACCCCATCTCTTCTAAAAATACAACAACTTAGCCGGGTGTGGTGGTGGGCGCCTGTAGTCCCAGCTACTTGGGAGGCTGAGGCAGGAGAATGGCGTGAACCCGGGAGGCGGAGCTGGCAGTGAGCTGAGATCATGCCACTGCACTCTAGCCTGGGTGACAAAGCAAGACTCTGTCTCAAAAAAAAAAAAAAAAAAATTAGCCAGTTGTGGTGGCGGGTTCCTGTAGTCCCAGCTACTCAGGAGGCTGAAGCAGGAGAATCACTTGAACCAGGGAGGTGGAGGTTGCAGTGAGCCAAGACTGCACCATTGCACTCCAGCCTGGGCAACAGACTGAAACACCATCTCAAAAAAAAAAAAAAAAAAAAGTAAGAAACAGTATAGTGGTGGCATATACCTGTAATGTTAGCGCTTTGGGAGGCCAACACAGGTAGATCGCTTGAGCCCAGGAGTGTGAGGCTGCATTGAGTTATGACCACGAGACTACACTACAGCCTGGGCAACAGAGCAAGACTTGGTCTCAATTAAAAAAAAAAAAAAAAATTAAGTAGTATCTTTAAAAGTAAGTATGAACAGACAAAGATGTAATTTTAAAGCCTAGCGATATGGCTCCCAAGCTTTTTGGTCCTTGTACCACTCTATATTCTTAAAAATTGGGTTACATCTATCAACATATACCACATTAAAAATTAAATCTTAGCAATCTTTAAAATACACATTAATCACTTAGGAAATATTAAAAACTCAGAGCATGTTAACATAGATAACATTTTCGATGGCTTGCCTGTAATCCTAGTACTTTGGGAGGCTGAGGTGGGTGGATCATGAGTTCAGGAGTTCGAGACCAACCTGGCCAACATAGTGAAACCCCATCTCTACTAAAAATACAAAAATTAGCTGGGAATGGTGGCGCACACCTGTAGTCCCAGCTACTTAGGAGGCTGAAGCAGGAGAATCACTTGAACCTGGGAGGCGGAGGAGGTTGTGGTGAGCCAAGATCACACCACTGCACTCCAGCCTGGGCAACAGAGCGAGACTCCGTTTCTATATATATATATATAAAATATATATAGAAAATATATATATATAAAAAATAAATTTAAAAAGCCACAATTTCCAAAAGAATTAAAAACTAGCTTAGTTGAGAACAGCAGCACTGTTTTACATTTTTGCAAATTTCATTGATAGGTGGGCTAAGTTTCATTGAAGAGATGGGATCTCTGGGATTCTGGAGGTGCTGGGGTCCACACTTTGAAAACAGCTACCTTTGAGTGACCATTAAAGGGTAAGAAGGAGAAAAGGAGAGAAAGAGAGAAAGGGAGAGAAAGAGAGAACTACTAAGTCAAAAGAGAACATGGTATTTTCTAAGTAATTCAAAAGAAAAGGAAAAAGCAAGACAAATGGAACATATAGAGCAAAACACGGTAGACTTAAACCCAACAATACTGATAATTATATTTACTCCAATTAAATAGCACAGAATGGCCGGGCACGGTGGCTCATATCTGGAATCCCAGAACTTTGGGAGGCTGAAGCCAGGAGTTTGAGACTAGCCTGGGCAACACAGCAAGACTCAGCCTCTACAAAAAATAAAAAACAGCCAGGCATGGTGGTGCACACCTATAGTCCAGCTACTAGGGAGGCTGAGGAGGGAGGATGAGCTATGATCACAGACTGCACTCAAACCTAGGCAACAGAGTGAGACTCTCTCCTCCCCCCAAAAATCAATTTTAAGAATACATTTTTTAATTTAAAAAATTAAAATGTTTACTTTCCTGTCCTCTGTAAAAAAAAAATAAAATAAAATAAAAATTCAAAAATAAAGGTTGGGTGCAGTGCATGCCTGTAATCCCAGCACTTTGGGTGGCCAAGGTGGGCAGGGTGCTTGAGGCCAGAAGTTCAGGACCAGCCTGGGCAACATGGTGAAACCCTGTCTCTGCAAAAATACCTGTCTCTACAAAAATACAAAAATTAGCCAGGCATGGCAGCATGCACTTGTAGTCCCAGCTACTCAGGAGGCTGAGGCGGGAGAATTGTTTGAACCCGGGAGGCAGAGGTTGCAGTGAGTCAAGAGTGTGCCACTGTACTCCAGCCTGAGTGACAGAGCGAGGCTCCATCTCCAAAAAAACAAAGCACAGACTCTTAGGCTACATACAAATGCAGGGCTGCTGTTTACAAGACACTCAATTTAAAACATAAAGACAGTTGTTAAACACTAGACACAGGGAACTGGAGTGACTACATCGCCAGAAAAATGAGGCTTTTGGACAAGAATATTGCTAGAGATCAAGATGGACATTTCTTAATGATAAAAAGAGTCAACTCATCAAGCAGAATTAACATTCCTAAATGCATATGAACTTACTAATAGATTCAAAATTCATGAAGCAAAAAATTGAAAGGATATGGGAGGCCAAGGCAAGAGGATTGCTTTAGCCCAGTTCAAAGACCAGCCTGGGCAACATAGGAAAACCACCATTTTAATTAAAAATAAAAAGTTAGAAGGATAAAAAGAAGGCATGGGCGTGGTGGCTCACGCCTGTAATCCCAGCACTTTGGGAGGCCAAGATGGGCGGATCAAGAGGTCAGGAGATCGAGACCATCCTGGCTAACACGGTGAAACCCGTCTCTACTAAAATACAAAAAAATTAGCCGGGCGTGGTGGCGGGCGCCTGTAGTCCCAGATACTCGGGAGGCTGAGGCAGGAGAATGGCGTGAACCCGGGAGGCGGAGCTTGCAGTGAGCTAGCAGCCTGGTCGACAGAGGGAGACTCCGTCTAAAAAAAAAAAAAAAACAACAACAAAAACAAGAAATCTTGTTTCGATTCCAAGCAGCAAAAAATGTGCTTGAGACGATGCTAGTACACACGTAAAAAAATCCAAGTTTTCCGTGAATTACAAATCCACAAATTATACAGCAACTTTTCTAAGTGAGTTCAAAAGAGCACAGGCTAGATCACTGCAGGGCAAAAAGTCTTTCAACAAGGCGTTAATATGAAAAGCACAACCTTAATCAGAGCATTTCCTTCTCTCCATAAACTTTGGGTCGAGCCTTGACCACTCAATCCCTCGAGTTCCCAAAGGGTGGTCCTTGGCGGGTTTTTTCCAAAGTGGGGTCGGAGGTCTGAACACCTGAGGTGAAATTCAAGTTCACGAGCAAGTCAACCCAATTTCAGAGCTCCCAACTTCCCCACATCGGTAAAATGAAGCCTAGCAAAGCCTACAAAAGACTAGGGGTTACTAGACTGCTTTAGAAAGGCTCGGTGGCTGACGCCTATAATCCCAGCACAATGGGAGGCCGAGGCGGGCGGAGCACGAGGTCTGGAGTTCGAGACCATCCCGGCCAACACGGTGAAACCCCGTTTCTACTAAAAATACAAAAAATGAGCCGGGCATGGTGGCACGCGCCTGTAGTCCCGGCTACTCGGGAGGCTGAGGCAGGAGAATCGCTTGAACCCGGGAGGCGGAGGTTGCAGTTGGCCCAGATTGAGACACTGCACTCCACAACAGAGCGAGACTCCATCTCAAAAAAAAAAAAAAGAAAGGCGACACTTGACACACAGTAGGCGCTAAACACACATTCTTTGGGTTTGCATTTTGTTCAGAACTAAGAGTAACAGGCATTCGGCAAAGGCTGGGAATCGGACGGGGACGGGACCGGGGCGGGGACGGACGCGCGGAACTGAAAGAATTTGACTTCGGGTTCCAGTTCCCCCAGCCGGACTAACCTACTCGCCCGGCCCCGGGCCCAAAAGCCTCAGGTGGTAGTGGTCAAAAGGTCACCGCCTCCGCGGGGCGCCGCGTCCACAACACGCGTGGGGAAACGGTCAAGGTTTGGGGCGTTTGGGTTCACGACGGCAAAAACACCGTCCACCACGGGCCAAGCCGAGTGCCATGCCCTGCACCTACGTCTAAGCTCACAGCACCCTGCACTGGGGCGAGGAATCGTTTGAGGCTCGCCCGGGTCTCTGGGACTGGGCTCTCGCCGCGCCGCCTCAGGGCGCAAAGTCCACGCGCCTCGCCCCGCGCAGAAACGTCCCCCGCCCCGCGGCGCCCAGGCCGCCTCCCCAGCAACGCAACTCCGCGCTACGCCTGCGCCAGGAAAGGGCTCGGCATTTAGACCGCAGCCCCGGGCGGGCCACACTCCCCAGCAAGTGCCTCGGCAGCGTCCCAGGAGACTCGCCGTGCTTGCCGGGGTTGGACGTGGCGCCAGGTCCGCGTAGCAGCCCGCACCCCGGTGCTCACCTGTACCACGCAGCAGCCCAGGGCATCCTTCTGAGCTTCGGGAGGGACGATGTTCCGGGGCGTGTGGCCCGGGTGCAAGAAATGAACCATGGCGACCCCACTGGCGGGGTGTCAAGCAGAGAGCGGGCGTCGAGCCGGGGCCCGGATCCCGCGAGAACCAGGCGGGCGGCTGCCAGGACGCGCCCACCACGCCTGCGAGGCACACAGAGCTAGCGCCGCGCCCGGCCGGCGGGCTTTTGAAATGCCCGGCGAGTCGACGCGCACGCGGGGGTCGGCCAGCCGCAGACCCCACCCCCCGGGCGGCCTCCTAGCCGCACCCGCCCCCCGACACGCCGCCGCCTGGGCCAACCGTCCCCCTCCCGCCTTCCCAGCCTCCTCAGACCAACCTGCCATGGCCCAGCTGCTCACCCACTCCTCCCCAGCCCCGCGCCTCAGGGCTTGAGGGGACATTCCCCGAGGACCGGCTTTGTAGGTTTGGGGAATACTATATATATACACACACACACGTATATGCATACATATATATTCATTATTTCTATATATATATATTTTGAAGCTTTCATACATTAAAATATATATTTCAAAGACTGTGCCCCTAAAAATCTGGCAACAGCACCTCTCTAACAGTCCTCTCTGTTTCAACTCCTAGAGTCTCTGGATAAATCAAATATAAAACGAATACAAAATATTGGCAAGTATCTACCAAAAAAAGCTATTTAGCTTTCTTGTTACCTAAAAAGTACCTGAGAAGACCCTTATAACCTGCTCCAAGAAAGAAACCCTGAGAGACCCTTCTAACTTTCTCCAAGAAAGAAACTCCACAAGTTAGTACACATTAGCTAATTTCAGAGAAAACAATACCTGGAAAAGGAAAGTTCTCAAGAGCATGAGCCTTGGAGTTTGAATCCTGAATTAGAATGCCTGCTCAGCCGTCTACTGTTGGAGAACCTGGAGCAAGATTCTTGATGTCTTTGAAGCTCAACTTCCTCATCAGTAAATTGGAATGAGAATGCTTTATCTCACACGGTTAATGTAAGGATTAAATAATGTATGTAAAACATATCACAATGCTTGGCACATAGCAAGTCCTTGATAAGTGGCTTGAATTCAGATGTTAAAATTATTTTTAAGTACTTTGCCTAAAACTTTTCTTTCACATTTATTCTTTTATTTAATCCACTTACAAGAAGAAAAAGAAATCCTGTGTTGTAGGTATCATCCCCATTTTACTCACAGGGAAACTGAAGAACTGACAGGTTAAATAGACAACACGTTTTTTAGCCAGCTGATGAGTGGCCAACCTGGGAGACAGAATTGAGTTTCCTCACTGCAAGTCCGATCAATATGCATTTTTGTTTGTTTGTTTGTTTAGATGGAGTCTCACTCTGTTGCCCAGGCTGGAGTCAAGTGGCGCAATCTCAGCCCACTGCAACCTCCACCTCCTGGGTTCAAGTGATTCTCCTGCCTCAGCCTCCCAAGTAGCGGGGACTCCAGGCGTGCGCCACCACGCCCGGCTAATTTTTGTATTTTTAGTAGAGGCGGCGTTTCACCATGTTGGCCAGGATGGTCCTCATGATCTGCTGGCCTCAACCTCCCAAAATGTTGGGATTACAGGCGTGAGCCACCGTGCCCCGCCAATATGCTTTTGTTAACGGGTGTTCATGTTCTTGGTGTCTTGAACAAAGAATTGGACAAAATGCACAAACAAGGAAGGAATGAAGGAATTTATTGAAAATGAGGGCGGGCGCGGTGGCTCAAGCCTGTAATCTCAGCACTTTGGGAGGCAGAGACGGGCGGATCACGAGGTCAGGAGATCGAGACCATCCTGGCTAACACGGTGAAACCCCGTCTCTACTAAAAAATACAAAAAACTACCCGGGCAAGGTGGCGGGCGCTTATAGTCCCAGCTACTCGGGAGGCTGAGGCAGGAGAATGGCGTGAACCCGGGAGGCGGAGCTTGCAGTGAGCTGAGATCTGGCCACTGCACTCCAGCCTGGGTGACAGAGCGAGACTCCGTCTCAAAAAAAAAAAAAAAAAAAAGAAAATGAAAGTACACTCCATAATGCCACAATGTGGGAGTGGGCCCGAGCACTGGGGCTCAAAGGCCCCGTTACAGAATTTTTGGGAGTTTAAATACCCTCTACTTCGGGTATGCCCTATGTAATGAAGAGGATGAAGGAAAGTTACAAAGTCATTTCCTTGGGGTATGCCCAATGGAGAGGATATTTCTTTTACAGCTGAAGTGTGAATTTCAGCAATTTTAACTTTAATATAAAACCTGGTAAGTTATAAGGTTTGACTATTTCCAGCATAGCTAGAGGTGTGGCCAACTCCACATGTCCCAGGCCTTACCGAGCTAGAAAGCAGGCAAGTTAAACAGTTTTCAAAAGCCAAGGAAGCACTTTGTGACCTTAAAGCATTTAGCAAACCTAATATTTGAACATAATTTTAACCACGTTTACATTTTGAAGACATTTGTATTTTATCAGTAATCTTTAAGCCCATCTTTATTTCCCAAAGATTACCCAAGTCACATGAACTAAAGGCATTGTTTTTCACTTTGCTGACAAAATATTTTATTTAAGCTCTTATTATTAAACCAATTAATTTAAAACCTAACACATGAGGCCAGGTATGGTGGTTTACGCCTGTAATCCCAGCACTGTGGGAGGCCAAGATGGGTGGATCACCTGAAGTCAGGAGTTCAAGACCAGCCTGGCCAACATGGTGAAACCCAATCTCTACTAAAAATACAAAAAAAAAAAAAAAAATTACCTGGGCATTGTGGTGCATCCCTGTAATCCCAGCTATTTGGGAAGCTGAGCCAGGAGATTTGCTTGAACCCAGGAGGCAGAGGTTGCAGTGAGCTGAGATTGCACCATTGCACTCCAGTCTTATGACAAAGCGAGATTTTGTTGGAAAAAATAAAAATAAGTAAATAAAAGTGGCCAGGTGCAGTGGCTCACACCTGTAATCCCCACATTTTTGGAGGCCAAGGTGAGCAGATCACCTGAGCTCGGGGCTTGAGACCAGCCTGACCAACATGGAGAAACCCTGTCTCTACTAAAAAAATAAAAATGAGCTGGGTATGGTGGCGTGCACCTGTAGTCCCAGCTACTCGGGAGGCTGAGGCTGGAGAATCCCTTGAACACGGGAGGCGGAGGTTGCAGTGAGTCGAGATGACGCCAGTGCACTCCAGCCTGGCGACAGAGTGAGACTCCCTTTATTAAAAAATAAATAAAAATTTAAAAATGGGCTTTGCTGTTTCTGTCACGGGCACAAGCGGTGGCCTGATTGTCAGTCTTCTCCCAGCATTTTTAAGGCCAGGAGCCAAGTGCTGCATCTGGGCAAATAACTTACAGAACGGTTTCGCTTTTAAAATTATTGTTGTTGGCCAGGTAGGGTGGCTCACTCCTGTAATCCCAGCACTGTGGGAGGCCAAGGTGCATGGATCACCTGAGGTCAGGAGTTCCCGACCAGCCTGGCCAACATGATGAAACCCTGTCTCTACTAAAAATACAACCATTAGCCAAGCATGGTGGCAGGCGCCTGTAATTCCAGCTACTTGGGAGGCTAAGGCAAGAGAATAACTTGAACCTGGGAGGTGGAGGTTGCAGTGAGCCAAGATCGTGCCATTGCACTCCAGCTTGGGCGACAAAAGGGAAACTGTCTCAAAAAATAAATAAATAAATAAAAGCGGCTGGGCGCAGTGGCTCATGCCTGTAATCCCAGCACTTCGGGAGGCCGAGGTGGGTGGATCACCTGAGGTCAGGAGTTCAAAACCAGCCTGGCCAACATGGTGAAACTCTATCTCTACTAAAAATACAAAATTACCTGGGCTTGGTGGCAGATGCCTGTAATCCTAGCTACTCAGGAGGCTGAGGCAGGAGAATCTCTTAAATGTGGGAGGCAGAGGTTGCAGTGAGCCGAGATTACGCCATTGCACTCCAGCCTGGGCAAAAGATCAAGACTCTGTCTCAAACAAAAATAAAAAATAAATAACAATAAATTTTAAAAATGAAATTATTGTTGTTATTATTTGGAGCAGAGGACAGTTGATCTAGTGCACCCTGTCCTGTGTCTTTTGATACTCTATGTTTAAGGAAAAAAACCAATTATGTGTTTTATTTTATGCATCAGTTTTGGAGGGCTTCCAGCTATCCCCTTTTCCTCATATTCTACTGAGATTATACAAAGCAGCATGTTGCCAGGTGTGGCGGCTCATGCCTGTAATCCCAGCCCTTAGGGCGACAGAGACAGGAGGATAGCTCGAGCCCAGGAGTACAAGACCTGCCTGGGCAATATAGCGAGACCCCATTCTCCACAAAAAGGAAAAAATAAAAATTAAAAAAAACAAAGCAGCATGTTTTCCACAGAGTAGAAAATCCAATGGCAAGATACTATGTAGGTTTGGGCTGGGTGCAGTGGTTCAAGCTTGTAATTAATCTCATTGGCAGGCTAAAGTGGGAGGAGTGCTTGAGTCCAGGAGTTTGATGCCAGCCTGGGCAACGTAGTGAGACCCCCTCCCACATCTTTCTTTGTTTTTATTTATTTATTTATTTATTTTTTTGAGAGGGAGTCTCGCTGTGTCACCAGACTGGAGTGCAGTGGCGCGATCTCGGCTCACTGAAGCCTCCGCCTCTTGGGTTCAAACGATTCTCCTGCCTCAGCCTCCAGAATAGCTGGGATTACAGGCGTGCAACCATGCCCCCATGCCCAGCTAATTTTGTTTTGTTTTGTTTTTTGACAGAGTTTCGCTTTTGTTGCCCATGCTAGAGAGCAATGGCGCGATCTCGGCTCACTGCAACCTCCGCCTCTTGGGTTGAAGCGATTCTCCTGCCTCAGCCTCTCGAGTAGCTGGGATTACAGGCATCTGCCACCACGCCCAGCTAATTTTGTATTTTTGGTAGAGACAGGGTTTCTCCATGCTGGTCAGGCTGGTCTCCAACTCATGACCTCAGGTGATCCGCCCACCTGGCCCTCCCAAAGTGATGGGATTACAGGCGTGAGCCACCGAGCCCTGCCAGCCCACATCTTAAACAAAAATTAAGAAAAAAATTGTGTGGATGTTTAATCTACAAGTTGCTCTATTTGCTACCTGTGTGATTTGAGGCAAGTCATTTGACCTCAGTAGGCTTCCCCTCATCTGAAAAGTGGAGGATAATTATCTTCCCTACAAGACTTTTTTGTTTTGTTTTGTTTTGTTTTGTTTGAGATGGAGTTTTGCTAGGTCTCCCAGGCTGGAGTGCAATGGCACCATCTCGGCTCACTGTAACCTCTGCCTCCTGCGTTCAAGCAATTCTCCTACCTCAGCCTCCCAAGTAGCTGGGATTATAGGGACCCGCCACCATGCCAGGGTAGTGTTTTGGTTTTTTTTTTGAGACAGAGTTTTGCTCTTGTCACCGGGGCGGGAATACAATGGCCCGATCTCAGCTCACTGCAACCTCCGCCTCCTGGGTTCAAGTGATTTGCATGCCTCAGACTCCCGAGTAGCTGGGATTACAAGCGCCTACCACCAAGCCTGGCTAATTTTTGTATTTTTAGTAGAGATGGGGTTTCGCCAAGTTGGTTAGGCTGGTCTCAAACTCCTGACCTCAGGTGATCCACCCGCCTTGGCCTCCCAAGGTGCTGGGATTACACAGCAGCCATAACGCCCGGCCCTTGCCTGACTAATTTTTGCATTTTTAGTAGAGACGGGGTTTCACCATGTTGGCCAGGCTGGTCTCAAATTCCTTATCTCAAGTGATTTATCCGCCTCGGCCTCCCAAAGTGCTGGGATTACAGGCATGAGCCACTGGGCCTGGCCTTAAATGGTTCCTTTTATAATATGTATTAATGTTCAGGGACAGGAGAGTTAAGGTTTGCTGTTGTTGTTGTTTTCTTATCTCTTAGATTTACATTCCGGTCTAGGAGACACTCTTCAGAGGCAATCCTTGACTGAGTCACTGCAAGATGAACTTATTTACTTTTTTTTTTTTTTTGAGACGGTGTTTCACTCTGTTGCCGAGGCTAGAGTGCAGTGGCATGATCTTGGCTGCAACCTCTTGCCTCCTGGGTTCAAGTGATTC